TACTTATGCGTATATAAAATTGTGTATGAGGCTCGTAATGTAGATGTAGTAAATTATAATATTAGTCAGTGCCTCATCTCACAAAGTATTGTCCGTACTGCAGGGAATTTAAACGACGACTGATACGGTGTATACGGAAGTGGTGGAAGGGGTGAGGGGGTATAACTGTATCGATGAAGACTGTAGCAAGACAAGTGCGTGAGAATGGTACAGCATGAAGAGGATGGGCACAGGAAGAAATATCCTGGTTAAGTGATTTGCTTTAATATCCTCCAAGTCTCGTCATCTGTCTTGTTACATTCCTCTGCTCCCTTTCCACTCCTACGTGTTGTCGAATGGTGTGCATCGAGGCTAGTTATTAACGCCGTCTCCAACTAATAATGCGCATAAATACTCAATCGCGGACCATTTCCTTTGTATGCTGTACTACGCTTGACACATCCACATCAAAATGTCAGTACTCGCTGAGATAAAGACTTGCCGTTCCTTCGTGATGAGACGCATAACTGACATCCATTCAAGGTGTCAATGCCAGACAGTTTGTTTCTTTTTGTTACTCCCAAGTTTCATAATAGCTTATAAGTCTAACGCCAGATAAACTATCTTTCTACAGAGAGAAAGAGTCAGATGTTGAATTGCTCCTGGATAGCCCAAATTATGCAAGACACAATAGGTCAGGTCCATCCAGGAAGTTGGGTAAAACTGCATAATGGGGACGTCATAACGGGTACTCTTCCCCAAGCATAATTAGTATGATCATGTCAAAGGAGTATGAGATAGGAAGGGCTCGTAGCACGCATGGGAGAGAAGAGGAGAGCATATAGGATTTCTTGGGAAAACCGGAAGGGAAGAGACCAGCAGAAAGAAGTCCACGTATGAGAGAAGGGTAATATTAAAAATTATTTTAGAGAGAGAGAGAGACTGGAGTGGTATGGACTGGACCGGTATGAGTCAGGATAGGGACACGTGAAATACTCTTGTGAACACTGTAATGAACCTTCATGTTCCATGAAATGTTTGGAAATCCTTGAGTGAGCGAGCGATTGGCAACTTGCCAAGATGGACTCAGCTCCGATCTCAGGATACTTTATTATCAGGTTGAAATTCGAAGAGGAACGATAAGCAAGACTGGTCAACAGTCTTGATGTCAGGTGGCAGCATATAACTCTGTGAATCGGTTTTCTAACATGACGCTACATGAATCACTTTGAAGGAATGAAACCTCTGATTTTCTCCTGCAAATCTGTATTCCATCAACAGCTCGAAATAATCCTATGGATACTATATAGTCTCAGTGCTGACATACTTCCTCATGAAGCTGAGGCCTGTTTGAGGAGCTACCAATTCTGCAGCTACTCAAGAATTTCCCAGCATTTTATGGAACCTGAAGGTTCATTACCGTGTTCACAAGAGCCCTCCACTGGTCCCTATCATGAGCCAGATCAATCCAATCCATACCGTCCCTTCCTATCTCTCTAAGATGCGTTTTAATATTGTCCACCCACCTATGCCTTGGTCTTCCCAGTGGTCTCTTTCATTCTGACTTTCCCACCAATATCCTATATGCATTCCTCATCTCCCCCATTCATGCTAAATGCCCTGCCCACCTCATCCTCCTTGACTTGATCATTCCAATTTTACTTGGGAGAAAAGTACAAGTTATGAAGCTCCTCATCATGCAGTTTTCCCCAACCTCATGTCACTTCATCTCTCTTTGGTCCAAATATTCTCCTTAACACCCTGTTTTCAAACACCCTCAGTTTGTGTTCCTCCCTTAATGTCAGAGACCAAGTTTCACACCCATACGGAACCACAGACAAAATTATAGTTTTGTATATTGTAATTTTTGTTTTTGGCCAGCAGACGAGAAGACAAAAGGTTCTGGACTGATTGGTAGCAAGCATTACCCGAGTTCAGTCTCCTCTTAATTTCCTCCTGAATCAGGGTTTGATTTGAATCTGAACTGTGTCACATTTTCAAAATAATCCGTCCAGGTCCGAGGCTTCTTGAGAATTTTCGTAACAGGTTTATTTTTTACGGTGAGTTGTTAGCCTCACGCCCAACCCCAAAAGTTGGAGGACCACCCCTTGTCGGCTCTCGGCGACTACTTATTCAATATATTCACAGCTTCCCTCCATATCTGGAGAGCGTCTCCTCCATCCGCAACCTGAGGCCGCGCCATGCCGTGGTGACAAGTGACCCACCTACCACTACTGACAGCGTCATTAAGTAATGAACTTAGAAAAGAAAGGCTCTGTTCTGTGGAGTTGTAGTTCAGAACCTCGACACATTAATCACGAGTAGTGAAACATGTGGACTTTGAAATTTCTGCTTGCCTTATAAAAACTTTTACTAATAAAATAAATTTCTGTAACATCACAAATTCTGGACAAGATATCTGTACGTTGGTACAGTTGTATTTTTTTTTCAGTGCTGCATGTTACTGAGCTAACTTTAAGACACACATAGAAACATATTTGTATTAAAGATTTAATGTTTAAAATTTAAAAATGCACTGCAAATTTGAAGTTTGTGCTTCATTTCGAGCAGTAGGTAAAGGTAAAACCAGTAAAACTATCCCTGTAAGAGGCTGTGAACGTCCATAAGGTTGTGGGACGTTGAGGCTGTCACGTTTGTTCTAGACATTCGGCTCACAGGTGACGGTAAGGTTGGTGCGGTTGGAAGGATTAGGTAAATTGAAAAGAATCCCCTTCATCGGGACTCGAACCCATGACCTTTATGCTTGTAGCAGGGTGGCTCAACCAACTACGCTTCCGTGTCCCTTAAGGGCCCCGTAGACGGTCGGTCTCAGCGTCCGTTTTGCCTCTGCAGTTCTAAGACGGAAAGCTGAAGAGGGAACAGACATTCCGTTTTGTTCTCAGTTTTCGCGGATCGTGCACGGAGCAACATGTTGGAAGAAATTTTAATTTTCACCGCTCTAGCGTTAGCTTTGCGATCAAAAAGTAAAAAGAAAAAGACTAGGTCAAAAGTGGGCAGAGGCTTCTTAACGTAAACGAAATAACCTCTCGCATATAAATTAACTGGTATGTTTAACTCTAGAACCGGGTGATTGGTTCATTTATTTAAGGATGGACACCTTCTTCACACATATCAGAAAGAATGACAGTGCGTTTCCGCCGTTCCATCACAATGCACTCCAGCTCCCGTGTCTTTATTCGTCTTTATCTAAAAGTTAAAACACGGCCTAAAAATGTATCATGTCATGGAAAATTGACTAATTTTTTAAAATGCATTTTTACTGTGAACTCATCATTTCTCTTTTAAGTTCGTCCTCGTTTTTATGTTGAAAATTAAGCAATATATGTTTGAATTTGAAGTTAAATGTTTCAATACGATTTTTTCCACCTTGTTGGAACGCTTAACAAATGTACATATATGGTATATATTCCAGTATTTAAGTGTCACCTCATTCAGAGTTGCAATAGATGACGGTCGACATGCAGAGATTCTCGAAAGTGAGAGAGCGCCTACTGTCCGACAGCACATTCTTGTACTTGGAGAAACTCGCTTTCCGCATCTGCAGACAGTGGGAGCGTACGTGAAACCCCGACAATTGGCGGGACGCAACATGCTGAAGTGGAGGCAGAGTTCCCCTTTTCTGGGCACTACTTGTGTAGGTGGCCGCCTCCGCACCACAAACAACGTGGGGGTTGCTTGCAGTTTGCCCAAACGTGGCCGAACTGCTGGCAGTTGTAGCACTGCGTGAGCGCGCTTTGTGCTTTATACGCCTCTACCTTGATGGCAGTGTGGCAGAGGTTGGTCAGTCGGAAGAGTTCTTGAGACTTCTCCGTTCTAGGTCCCTCAACGCATGGAACGTACCAACTACGACCTGTGTGCGGCTAATGGCACTACCATCCGCACATACGGATGGCTACCTCTCAGCCTCAACTTGGCCCTACGCCGAGAATTCACGTGGCGGTTCGTGGTGGCCGACGTCACGCATCCCATTATCGGCGTGGACTTCCTATCGCATTTTGGTCTCCTGGTGGACTGTCGGAACAACCGCATTCTGGACTGGGTCACGACGCTGTCAGCCCCAGCCTCAACGGCCGACAAACTGATCCCCAGTGTAAAGACCATCAGCAACAACAACACAATGCATTGTCGTCAACTATTCCACAAAGTTCTACCTTAGATAGTAAAATGATAGATCGACAGTAACACAGCCAAATGCCTTCTTGAAATCACAGAAAGTGCCACCAACTAATATTTTGTTAATCAGTGCATTTAATATATCATTAATTTATGTGAGGCCATTTTTGTAGATGAATGACTCCTAAAACCATACTGTTCATTTGCTAATATGTTGTTGCTCATTATGTGTTGGTGCAGTCTTGCATATATATCCTTATCAACAAATTTTGAAAACGATGTCAGTAATGATATAGGTCTGTAGTTAGGCAGATTAGTTTTAAATGATGGTTTTATTTCTGAATATTTCAACCAAGTGGGAAGACACCAGTTGGGGAGATGTTAGAAATATGTTAATTGGGAGCTAATGAAAGGAGCGTTGATTTTTAATTTCTAACCTGAATTTCATCATACCCACCACAATTTTTGGTCTTAAAGGCTTAATTATATTTTCAAATTCTTTAGTACATATGTTGAGTTTAATTTTTGGGAAGGGAATCGTGAAAGCTTGAGACAGATAATTTGAATATTTGTCAATACCCGACTCTATAATGTGGCTGACGTTTGCATTATTGGTATTGATAGTCAGCTATAGTTCGAAAATAATTATTTAAAGAATCTGTAATCACATCATGACTATCAGTTAATTTCCCTCCAGTGTTTAAAAACTGTATACCTGCATTATTATTTTTGTACCTGTGTCTGATTTTATAATGCTCCAGGTGGTTTTCATTTTTTTATTACAATTATAAATTAAACTATTCTAATGAAGATTTTTAGCTGCATTAATAATATTGGCCAAAATTTTACAGTTTGTTTTATAATTATATTTTAGATCTGACTCATACCTTGCAGAATCCCTGGGAAAATGGAAAAATTTTATTCTGCTGTGCTCACTGGATATGCACCCAAGAGCAAAACATTTATTTTCCCCCATTTATCCTGCAAGAAATAATACAAAAATTATAAACAAAACCACAGTACACTCAGAGTTTCTTGAGGTCCTACAGTCCTTTAGGCTACACCGAAATATGCTTAAAATACAGAAATAGGATTTCAATGAAATATCGTTGCAGCACTATTTGACTTCATGTTTGCTTTTAATTTCATTTGGCATAGTTAGCGTAATAATTCATATACAAAAATAACACACTGATGTAAATTCGTGCGTAAATATCGACTGTCGTTCCACAACATCAAATAAAAATCCATACTTACTAATTAATTCAACAACATACCTCAATGATCCAGCACATCGCTAGATAGTAAAGTACTTCTATACAAGACCATCATAAAGCCTATTTGGACCTATGGAATCGAACTATGGGGATGCGCCAGTAAATCGAACATAGCCATAATGCAACGAAGACAGTCCAAAATACTGCGGATGATCACAAATGCACCTTGGTATGTGTCTAATCAGACCCTACATGACGATCTCAATGTACCATTCGTCAAAGAAGTCATCCAAGAAAGAAGCATAAAACATCACGATAAACTAGGACACCATAGCAATACATTACTGCAGCCCCTACTGGAACAACAACAACGAAGAAGGCTAAAGAAATTATGGCCCGCAGATCTACTTGATGGTTAGAGGATCTCTCATTGGAGGAGCCCTCATCACGACACAATAAGCACACGAGGACGGTGTTTAAATTAGCAAATTAGCTAAAAGAATGTATTTTATTCTGATTGCTAATAAATATATATATATAATTAAAAAAAATACCTCAATGGAGTAACTTTAGCGGATCAAACGACGCAATATTCAAGCGCCAACGCCTGCCAACGCCCAAACCCTTCAACAGTGATTGGCTCACACTTGTGCGATTCGATTAATTGCGATAGGTGTATTACGATTGGTTCCTGACCGTTCCAGACTATCTAGGTCAGGTGAACGAGCAGAGATGGCAGTTCTGCATGATCTCCCCTCCGTCTACTCCAGTTTCATCCGTGACGCATATGACCCAAATGACCGCAAATGACTGTTAGTAATCTGTGTGTACCAGCTGTGTGTTAATGTGGTTAGAGCTGTCTGGGAAGTTTTAGCCGCGTGGGATAATAATGCGTATTGAAACGTGTTATTTTTGCTCTTCCCGCGTATATCCTGGACATGGGATTCAGTTTGTAAGGAATGACTGCAAAGTAAGTAATGACTGAAATATGTTAGAAAGCACTGGTAAAGTAATTCTGTCCCAGATTTCCGGTGAACATAACCTTACCTTTGGAAACTATAGAAAGTATATTGCAACTTAATACTTTACAGATATTTAAATTTTGTCGACCAAAATGCCACAGAGCTTTTAAAAAGAAGAAGAATCCCAGGAAAGTTAAGTGGACGAAAGCCTTCCGGAAAACTGCAGGAAAAGAGCTTGCAATTGACCCGTCATTTGAGTTTGAAAAGCGACGGCATGTTCCTGTCAAATATGACAGGGAAATGTGGGCCAAATCTGGTATGTAATTTTGCGTTATGTATGCGGTCTACATCTTTTAACAAATTATACTATGACTCAACGTTGGGAGGTCTCTGGATTTTATTCAGTACATGTGAAATAAATGACTTAAGTACTTGTCTTTATATGTTAAAACCAAGTCCTCCTTAATCAGCATTTAATCTGGAAGGAATGTGTGTGTAGATGTGTATGTTCCTAACTGGTGCAGAATGTTCCATATCAAATATGGGCATATTGCATTATCATTTTTGAAGAAGTCTTTTAAGTGTATGATTAACCAGATTTATATTTCTGTCATAATAGTGGACGCCATGAAACGTGTGGAGAAAATACGTCAACGCCGACAAGCCCAGTATATGATGCAACGATTACGCAAGGGCCGAGAACTGGAAACACAACGTGACATCAAGGAAGTCCAGAGAGACTTATCACTGATCCGGTCACCAGCAGCTGGTTTGAAACAGCGAAGAGCAATGGAGGAGTCTATTGTTGAAGAAATCCATGAGTCTGATGTAGAAATGGAAGAAGCAAAATGAAGTGGTTTACATTTTACAGACAGTCCTTGACTTATGTAATAGTTTGGTTCTGCATACCTTACATGAGTTGAATTTTACTTACATCAAAAAGTACCTTAAGTATGTAAGTTTGTTCTATTAATGTATTAGATGGTATTTTGTTGATAGTAAAAATGATAATAACATTGACATATATGTTGATAGCGGCTACACGTGAACGCTTCCGACTAATCTCTTCGTGGCCACTTTGATGGTACGCGGAAATCTTCGAAAGTATGATGCTTATTCATAAAACAGGAATAATATGCATTTATATGCACCATCAAACCATGTTCAAAATTTAAGAAATAAAGTAATTCATACATATATCCAAATGAGTATACTTTCTGGTTGCAAGAAAGAAATACGCATTTACATTAAAATCCGGTCACTAGTCATCATATAATTCTAGCTCCACCATGAAGTCTCCAAACTTCAATCTGTAAAAGGCTTGAATCAGTTGTGTACCACAACCGTATCAGGAGCAAATACCTTGATCAGTGGTTGTTAGACCTGCTCCTAGGGAGATGAGGCCTAACACCATTCATAAGGAAATATACTGACCATTTGCATGTTACACTAATACCGTTATTGACTTGTTCATTGGTCTTACACTTCTGTTGATAATTTATTGAAGAGTACTGGTATAAAATTGATGCACCTCAGTTCAGCACAGTACATGCATATGTCTTTTGATGTGTTATATGTAACACATCAAATTAGGCAATGACTGCTTCCATCCACATCTTCCTATTCATTAGTCACAGATCACCTTACCATTGAGCGCTGTATAGTCTCACAAGGGACTGGTCCTATCCGACATGTCGAAACCTGCCCTGATTTTTTTTTTCACTGCAAGAGTACACACAACAAAATCCACTGTCAAAATTTTAGCTGCTAATACGCACTGCAAGTATTTTTTAAAAATTGCTGAACATGGCCAATATTATAGCCTGCCAGACCCTTGGAGAAATGTCCACCTGTAGCAGAGCAGTACGCAACACGCAACACGGCTGACTCACAGCCTAGGCTTCCAGTGCATCGGTAGAGAGATAACATGGCACAAATGCATCGTATTCTGACAAGTACACAGCTGGGGTTGTACAAACCTCTGGTACAAGCGGTTCTGCGTACACAAAAAATGAGTAACTTCGGCAATTTTTAAAAAATACTTGCAGTGCGTATTAGCAGCTAAAATTTTGACAGTGGATTTTGTTGTGTGTACTCTTGCAGTGAAAAAAAAAATCGGCAGGTTTCGACATGTCAGTTTGGACCATTCCCTTGTCAGTTACTAACAATAGCAATAAATAGCCTGTAGATAGATATATATAGAACATGCTGCATAACCACAAGAACCTTTAGTAGTGTCATTATTGTCATGCTTTTTGGGTTGTGTGTGACTATAGATGGGGTATGGATTGGTGAATTGGCTTTATTGACCACTTGTATACACCGCTCAGAACTACACTTTACAGATAGCTGACACACACAGACTAGTGTCCTCAGTGTATCATAGTCTTCACTAGCCGTTTCATTGCTGAGGGAGATTCTTCATCTTTCTGTACTCAGGTCCTCTTGTCACAGCTGCCCTTGCAGTATTCTAGTCAACTGACAACTCTAACCACCAGCTAACACATTGTCAAAGTCAGAGTTTCTTTACGACTGGCAGTTCACCGCCAGTCAGTTGTTAGGCCCCTTGAGGCCTATGACCAGAAATTTTTTTTTCAACTGAACTCTTGTGGTAACAGTCCTTATGTAACATTCTCTTTGACGAGATGGGTTTCTTTCTTATAAATACACTTGACCTTTTGTCAAGTGTATATTTTGCACATATAACATGTCATTGAAAATTCTTCCTTTTACACTACACACAAGTCCTCTGTCAATACAGGCTTTACAGAGCAGATCATGCCTAACTTACATATCTAATGCTACGACAACTTAGTCATTTGAACAGTCGTAAGCTTGACCACCGGTAAGTTTAAGCCTCTTATATTTTCTATGTCTGGCTTCACCTTGTCCTATACAGTGAACATGTTCATTCTCATGATTTTGTATGACTTATGCTTGTTGTCTGCACATTTTATTATAAAATTGTATACATATGGAAAGTTGAAATCTTAACTCATTGCTTCAAATTGTCCTGCTTATAACATTTCGGCATGGACCACATAGAAAACACCGTTTGTGTTATGGTCCAACAGTACCTTGAACGTTGCATAGAAATGGCCATTTGTTTATCCACCAATTCATAGCAATGGCTGTACTAGTTGTCCTTTTCATAGAAATGTTCTGACTTATATTGGTCAGGAAACAGAATGTGATTAGGAAGGATATCATTTGAAAAGAAATATAAGTCTATCCCTGTAATAGGCAGTGGAGGCCCATATGGTTGTGAAACATCGAGGCTCCCACAGTTGGCTCACAGATGGCGGTGAGGTTGTCAGCCTCACACACGGGCCGCCATTTATCCCCAGGAAGATTCCTGGTACACATTTCTGTTAGAAACTAGGTTGACTCCAGGACCATAGTGTGGCTGAAAGGGTTATGTCAACTGAAAAATTCAATGACATCAGGAATTGAAACCGTGACTTTCTTTAACAATTTGCAGATGTTAAGATATTAATTTCTTTGGTTAGCACCAGAGTATATGAAATACACTGCTCACTATATTATAGAATGATTTGACAACACTGTCCAGTGTGACTTAAATATATATTTATTTGAATGTCCTTACATGTTTTTGTCAAGTTATGATCATCTGCAGAAGGCACAACAACGTGTTGAGGAAACTACTGTTGCATGTGTGTAAGGGATGGGCCATAAATTCTGGCACTCGCACTGCGACCTTCACTGATCTACTGTGCTTCCCCTTTGGAATAACCCTTTACTAATCCTGCACTTCGAATGAAATGTAGGACTTTATTTATCGGGGCGTCATAAAAGTCACTGGGTTCCATGAAGAGTTGACCCAGGTGGAGATATCTTAGGTAAGCTATAGCCTCACAATCACATAAGATGTGTGTGGCTGATTCATCTTCTTGTAGGCACCTTTCACAGTTTGGGTCATCTGTCAGTCCCAGTTTCAAAAGGTGCCCTTTTAGGTGGCAGTGTCCAGTAAGTAAGTCTACCACCCATCTTAGTTGATCTCTGTTTAATTTTAACAGGTCCCTCGTTCTCTTGGCAGAGGTTTCTGATATAAAACCCTTTGACTGTTTTAGGAGTCCAATTGTGAATTCCCAGTGTTTCTTCTGATTTCTATCTGTTCAGTCCCTGAACACTTTCTTGGCAACTCCAATTGAGATGCCGCAAGCTGGTTCAGGTCCTATGAACGGATGTTCAGATCCTGTTCTTGCCAGCTGATCTGTGGTTTCATTCCCAGCAATACCCTCATGACCTGGCACCCCTATCTGTTGAACTCTCTTATGTCTGGCCAGTTGTATGAGGGATTGGTGGCAGTCCCAGAACAGTTTTGAAGTGCATTAATTGCAGCTTGACAACTACTGTTGAATAGATCATAGTACATAAAGTTGAATCAAAGTTTTATATAAAGATTTTCATTAAAATGAAATATGGTTGTGTTAAAATTATTAAAATTGTTAATATTAAAAATCTTAAACCACTGAGGTTCATGTCTTAGTGCCTCTCCTATCAATGGTAGATTGGGGTGATATAGTCATCCTTAGCGATCCAGACTGTGTTATTTTCCCCTTTTTATAATTGTTTAAAAATCTGTGTTTTAGATCTGCTTGTCCTTTCACTGTGTGTTGAGGCAGCTGTAATAGACTGAGGACACTACTCTGCATGTCAGTGATGTGTAAAGTGTAGTTCTTAGTGGTGTGTGCAATTGGTCAATAAATCCATTCACCAATCCATATCCCATCTAGTCACACAACATATGTGACAACATATAGTCTGTAAATACACAAATCATTGCCTTCGAGTGCACACATCACACTAATCCATATGTTAATCCTTGCCTTCAAAGATGCACATTCTGCTACATCATTCAGTCTTCAAGGATTTGAATTATACTACGTATAATACTACGTATATACGTACGTATACTACGTACTGTACAACAACAAATCAGCCCTTGCCTTCAAAGACATACCTTGCACTCCATCAATCAACTCCAGCCACGTGACAGCAATAAAACACCAGAAAGATTTCCAAGTGCCCTAAAACAAATTAATTTAACTTAGATTGATCCAAAGGGCTACATATGAAAATGAAGGGATAATATAAGATGTAGTGCCAAGTTATATAAACAAATACTAACTATATAACTCCATGTATTTTTATCCGACAAAGGTCGGATAAAGAGTAGTGCCAACACCTCTATAGTTCTGAAATGACTTTATTACCTGAGGTAAACACACTTACATTCCTTCAATATAATCGCCCCCCATGTGTACCACCTTCTGCCAAATTTGTGGAGGGTGTCGTACACCATCAGCGCGTCCACTTCTGTTGAAGTCCAGCAGTGACCGCCCTACAGCACGTATAATCTCTCGTGTTGTAATGTGTCCCTCGCAGTGGTTCTTTCATTTTGGTAAAGAGATCATAATCGCATGGACTCATATCAGGTGAGTATGGTGGATGTTGCAGTATCTCCCATCACCAGTGGCGAAGGAGATCCTTCACAGCATCAGCAGTATGAGCCCTTGCATTGTAATGAAGGATGATGGGGTTCGTTGCCAACAAGTGTCGTCGCTTTCTCCTGAGTGCTGGACAAAGATGATTACACAGGAAATTGCAGTAGTAGGCAGCGTTTACTGTCTTGTCATTGAGGTACAGTGTGGTGCAGTATCACTCCAGCAGTGTCATATGCTACAATGAACATCGCCTTCACGTTACTCTGCGTAGGGCGCACTTTCATTGGACAAGAAGAGCCATAATGCTTCCATTCATTTGATTGTCACTTCAAGTGCGGTTTGTATGAGATCCCAAGTTTCGTCCAGAGTGATGATCCTTCCAAGGAAGTCGTCACCTTCCCTCTGGTACTCGTCCAACAAGTCCTGTGCAACTGCATAACGTTGCCATTGTTATAACTCGGACATTGTATGGGATACCCAACGCGCTGCAATTTTGCAGTATCCAAGAATATTGTGCAGAATGTGGAACATGGTTTTGTGACATACGCCTACCTCAGCAGCTAACTCCCACGCAGCCCATCGATGATCAACATCCAGCAAAGAAGCAAGAAGCTGAATTGTGTGGTTGTCAACATGGGGTCGTCCTGAACAATGGCTGTCCAGAATGGCATCCCTCCCTTCATGGAACAATTTCGCCCATCTTGCCACTGTGTGATATGGCAAAGCAGCACCACCACATGCTTCTCGCAGTCCCTGATAACAGTTTTGTGCAGTACAATCTCGTGCAACTTCAATTTTTATACAGGAGCATTGTTCTTGTTTCGTAAACATGTTGTTAGGGTGCTTGAACTGGGCTCCTGCACTTCAAGACGGTACACAATGCAACTCAATGAAACACAACCAGAGCCACTCACTGCACTACTTCAACTGAACTGCTATCAGCTACAGATGGCAGTAGTGCCACCTGACACGCATGTTTCATGTTACAGCAGTGTTGCCACCACTTTTTATCCAACCCATGTATTTTGGACAAATATGGTAATTTTGTACTGACATCTTTGTTAAACTGAGTCTAATCCAACCTAATTTCATTATTACTTTATTTATATTTTATACATTTCCATATTTTAACAATTTCATACTTACAGTCAATACATATTTAGTTAATCTGTGTGTGTCACCTGATGATGACAGTTTATGCCTGAAACATGGTGAAAAGAAGGCACACAGTAACATAGTTGATTGAGGCACTACACTACAAGCCAGAAGGTCACGGGTTGGATTCATAATGAGGTCACTGGTTTTTACAATTGACCTAATCCTTCCAGCCACATTATGGCCCTGGGGTAAACTCAGCCTCTAAAAGAAATGAGTACCAGGAATCTTCCTGGAAGCAAAGGGTGCCCACACATAAGGTTGATAATCTCACTGCCATCTGTGAGCCAACTGTCTGGAGAAAATGTGGAAGCCTTGACATCTCACAACTCTATGGGCCTTCACAGCCTGTTACAGGCATAGCTTTACCATTGTTTTTACATGTGGTGAAAAGAAATAAAAACAAAAGAGTTTTTAACGTAAGTTTGTGTGATGGTTTATCTTATGACCTGTAGGAAAACACAAACATGATAAATCTTATAAATCTTAGACAGGAAATGCACAACAGATGCACTTCTTTCTATGTTGCTTCTATAAAATAGTCTGTTTCTGTAGGACTAATAAGTGATACTATATAGGATTTGAAGTTCTTGCGGTGGTGACTATGACAAATATGATCTTTCTGGGTTGTAATGGCATGTAGTTTGGTAGAAGTCCACCAATTGCTGCTGGCTTATTTTTCAACCCTGCAGATGAAGGTGAATTCCTTTGAAATGTTGGTGATTTCTACAGAACCACAGGCATTACAACCCTGAAGATTATCTCATTAATCAATGCATTTGAAATGATGCCATAAAGGAAGTAACAGGATATTATTACAGATTAAAAAAGGCAAATAAAATGGTAGTTCTGGGAATTTGTTTCTCAATAGTGCTATTGAATCAGAGACGGGAAGAAAAAGATAGGACCTATTCCAAGCCATCTGAGAAATTACCTTGAAGAACTAAGGAAAGCCACAAACAACTTCTGGTCAGTAATTATTCTATCTTAGACATAAGCTATAGAACTGATACATCTCAAAGTTCACACGTACTCATCAAGCCATCACTCTGTCTCCTAGAAACCAGAACTTAAAGTATAATAGCAATAAGCAAGTAAAGGTAAAGAAAAGTTGTCTTTGTACTTAAATAAGCATCACACCATGATGATGTATGGCAGAATTGAATTATAGCTTCATGCATTCTTAGCCTCAGCGCTAGACGAAGGTAAATGGTCAGATTCAAACCCCAGCCATTCTGTCCCCAGGTAGAAAACTCCTGCTATCCATTTGCATAGGAGGCTGAGTGGGCTGCAACACCAGTCTGGACATTGTGGAGAAGAGAAAAATCGGTGATCATGTTGGGAATTGAACCCCAGTTCTCCTGTCATCCATCCTGTAACCTAGCCATTATGTAGATACTAATTGAACTGTCCCAGCAATAGTGAGTAATGTGAACAAACTAAAGAATATTGTTGGCCCAGCTTCTTATATTAATAAGCTCTTTAAAAGTTCAGTAGGGTCAACAGCTATATCAAGGTCCAGTATACTGTATTTTGAATAGTAAAAAAGAAGAAAATAAATGAATAGCCTTGACTATGTATTGCCACTGAGGCATTTAGTAAGACTAAAATTGATCTTCTGAGTCAGCATGCCACGTGTTTCATATATCTTGTTATGAGAGAAGCCTTATACATGCACTAGTCATAAGCTTTAGATTCCTTTAACAGTTTTAGGCTGAAACCTGAACAGGAAAGATATGAAAGATGCCATATTTACTGCAAAAACAAGCATGTGAGTAACAAACCTGGTGTTTTATGGATGTCATTTCATTGCTCATGATATGTACTTGCAGATGTTTTAGCTGTTAAAATTCATGTTGAAGTAGTAATCATTCATTGAATTTCAAGGGACTCTTTTTATTGACAGTATAATATTAGCTAAAGTTTTTACTTGTAGGAGTGGGGTCAGACTGAGTCTGTTGGTACTCGTAGCACTAGAGCCTTGTGACCTATGAATATGCAGCACTGGAGGAATGAAAATCGGCAGCAGAGCACCAAAGTTCTCAGGAAAAACATGCCCCAGTGCACTTTTTCCACCACAGATCATACATGGACTTCCCTGGAATTAAACCCATGCCTTTAGGGTGGGATGCCTGTGATTAATCACCTGAGTTATTATATATTTTTACTAGATCATCCATTCTATACATTGTGTGAGTTTCTCTTAGAGGGACAGTAGCAAGCATAGCAAAACCTCTATTCAGCAATTGAAATAGATAACAAATGGTTGCTTGCAGTATCTTAATGTGATCGGTGATTTACATGCTCATATGTAGGACTCTTGATTTACTGTAATACTCTTAAAATTATCCTGATGAACTCATAAGGTTGGCTTGCACTTCAATTTACATATTGTATCTAATTTTATTATTTATCTGGTTTGATAGTGTGTGTTAATTTTAATTATAGGTTGACAATGTCAAGAGTGATTACTTATTGTTGACAAATTCTAATCCTTTAGGCATTTGGGCAAAAGGATTTCAAGAATGATGTATTTAATGATGTGACTTATTCAAGTGTTAATGTTGTAGCACTTATGGATGCCAAATAAAATTAATGAATGAATTAATTTAAAAAATACTGTCATCAAGAAAGTACGATATATCATATCAATGTCAATGGCATCCATACAATGAACATGAAACTGGAAACGTTTCTTGTTAACACCAAATATGTGTACTAGTTTACATTGTTTCAGTGTATATAATGATGTTGGCTTTGATGGGTGGTGTAATTTTGGGGCTTGTAGCCTGGTCTTCTTGGACTAGCGCTCACCATGGCATCATTAAGACACCAGAAGCTCACTACGATTATATAATAGGTAAGGATTATGGTGGTGGTGATATTACCAGCTGTAATTTTAAATATTAGATGTGGTCCCTTCCTGAATGAGATGAACACCAAAGATGTTAATGAATATAATGAGAAGACCACATTTAATGCATGTATNTGGAGGTTGCTTGGTCGCCATGCGGCAGGCGAGTTGGAGTTGCGTGGCTAACGCAGCGCGGTCGTAGGCTGCTGGAGAAAGGCTAGTCTTTGAGCGCGGTCGTACGAGTGATGAGGCAGTGGCTATGCCAGATGCCCAGTGGGTCGGACAGGGACACGACCACTGGCGAGTCCAGGNCCAGCTGTAATTTTAAATATTAGATGTGGTCCCTTCCTGAATGAGATGAACACCAAAGATGTTAATGAATATAATGAGAAGACCACATTTAATGCATGTATAACTGTATTTAAAAGTTCTTAAATTGGCAACTAAAATACATTGTTTTATTCTACATACATAACAGTGAAAATATTCAGCTCAGCTGTTGTCCCCATGAAGTTCGTCCAACATAGATTCACTGATTGCACCCTTTAAAGGGATGTATCCCTCAAACTGGACAATGGTTTACTATATTACACTGTAGGTAAGAACAGGCTATATGGTATGATTNTGGCGAGTCCAGGCGGTGCCCCAGTGATTCGGGTGTGAGAGAGCCGGAGGGCCGAGGCAGTCGTGCCTGGTGCAGCCTGCCGATGCCTCCGAAGACCGAGCGCTGGCGACGAAGCCTGATGGCTGATGTTGCTTGGTGTGGCTTGATCGTAGACTGATGATCGACTGATGACTCGGCGTTGGAGCTGGTCCTTTTTATACACTGCTCAGTGGACGGAGCGAAACTTGAAATTGAGGAGGAAGAATTGATTGGCTAGCGCGCGTGATGATGTAGATTCAGGGCCAGCAGCGAGCGCAATATAAATGTGAATGTTTGGGGCAATTTGATTGGTTGGCGCGTGTGATGGTTCATCATGTTCAGCATGTTTCTTTATAATGTAACATAATTAATACAAATATGACTAACAGGTGTAAAATATAAATCAATTATAAAGGTTTGTGATGATTGTACAATTCATGTAGGATTACTGGGTTTCTGGATTTTGTCCATCACCTTGTATTCCAAACAGAACACAACATTTCAGAAACTGGATCAATTTCTATCCTCTGGTGAAAAGCTACGGAGGCACTTACTCAGTCTGGTCTATTAGAAGGATCTAACCTCAATCACTGAAACTGAGGTTAGGTGAAGAAGCACCAACTCAGCTGGGCCAGTGATGAGACTGAGATTAGGTAGTGAAGCACCTTATTGACAAAACAGCCCTTTTTGAGCCATAAAGCAAGTTCATCAACCTTGTGTTGAACCCCCAACATGGAAGGTCAGGTCTCTGTATTTATATCCCCCAGCAAAAGGATGGCACAATTATACCCCAAGGTACCAGGTTGCATTTTCATCACCTTTACGACTTGTAGGGTTATGGTGGAGGTATTCTCTGCCAGACTTGTAGACCATCCAGTTTTCACTTCTTTGGATTTTTCAACAGTATTTTTTTGCAAGCAAGTTCATCAGCCTTGTGTTGAACCCCCAACATGGAAGGCCAGGTCTCTGTATTTATATCCCCCAGTGAAAGGATGGCACAATTATACCCCAAGGCACCAGGTTGAATTTTCATCACCTTTACGACTTGTAGGGTTATGGTGGAGGTATTCTAACCTGCCTCCACACAAGAAGTTGGACCCATTAGGAAGAGCTAATCTCAGTAATTGGTTCAGACAAATCCAGTTTCCAAAATATTGTGTTCTCTTTGGAATACCAGATAATGGACAAAGCTCAGAAACCCCATAACCCTAAGCTGTAAGATATGGCCTGAAAATCTGGACCAGCAGTCAGTGGTAAGTACTTTCATCCATATTTGTTCCTGTACTGACAATTTTCAGTGGGAGGAGGTACAGCTGGCTGTGTCCTGGCTGCCCGACTGAGTGCTAACCCTCGCCATAATGTTCTTCTGGTTGAGGCAGGTGAACATTTCAGTTGGCTGAGTTCAGTTCCTCTTGCCACACCAATGTTACAGGGTTCTGCCCAAGACTGGGCCTATCGCACCAAGCCTCAAGTTCACTCTTCCTGGGGACTCAATAACCAGGTCAGTAAAGACAGTGTCACATAACTTTGAACAAGGCCGCCCATTATGTACGATTTAGCGCACAAGGAAACACGTTTGTAAACAGATGACAGAAAAACCATAAGTATAATCTGCTTCGAGGGTGCCTTACAAACAACTGGCTGCCTGTTACTTCTCACACCCTCGAACCCACCCCCTTGTCTGAAATTTTTCTTCTGCGCATTCAACGTTGTCCTTGTTTGGAGTTACGTGACACTTGCTTTAAGACAGATGCAATCAATAGCACATATTAGTAAGGTATAACTATTTTGAGTGGTGAATTTTATAGTGTTTTGATGATGGCAAGCAACATTTAGGATTACTGGATTTATAAACCTTGTTTATCATCCAGTGATTGAGGTTAGCTCTCTCACCCCCTCACCTGAGGACAGAAACAGATCCAGTTGTGAAACGTTGTTCCTTTGTTTTCTTGAGAATACTGGATGATGGACAAAGCATAAATACCCAGTAATCCTGAGTATTGTGAGCAGAATGAAGAAAATGACACACAAACATTTAGTACAAGTCAGTTTTTGTGTGCAGTTCATTAAGCCTTTCCATACAGGTTTTTCATTAAAAACCTTTACTCTTTTAATATATTTCTATGGTAGTATAATTTATGTTGATGGAAGGACACAGATCATTAGCCTTATGTGCTGCAAGATGGGGAGGAAATGTTTCTTTCATTAATCTTGTTAAATATTTCTATCACTGATCTTGTTAAACACTGAACCATTTTAAACCAGATGAGACAATATATAACCAAGGTATTTCAGGATACAGGCCAGTGGCAAGCTCTTGTAAACATAGTAATGACCCTTAGCATTCCGTAAGAACCACATAATTTCTTGAGTAGTTGACCAACAATTTGTTTCCAAAGATGGGCTCTGCTCCATGAAATTAGTTAGTTATCTTGTGATAGAATGGAAAGTATTAGGCCTTAGTCATCTTCACATTTACAGCCAGATTTTAAAATTTTTTCTTTATTTTTTGTTCACATCAGTCTAGTATAGAAAAGGGCCACTCCTAACATCTAGGATCACTTAGAGGAATAAAAATTAGAGCAGTGTGAATAGTTGACAGGTTTCACAATATTTCATATATGACAGAGAGAAGCAGGACTTCAGCACTTCATCTTATACAGGCAACTTCACAGATGCTGCAAGACACCATAAAATGGACATTTCAAAGATGATTATATTATACAGCCTTTTGCACTGCACGGGGAAGACAGCATAAAAAAGCATCTGTCCGAATCCATCATTGGACTTCAGCATATTACTAATTTTATATATTTTTAAGACTTACAATTTGATTTAATTTAAAAGATTAAAATATTTCAAATGTTTTAAGTAAATGATGTAAATTTTCCTTTAGTATTGGTTAACTATGAAGATAGCCAACTGAGGCTGAACTACATCAGGCTGTAAAATTATTTAATCATTAAAAGAATTGGATATCCTTGATGGTAATATACTTACTTTAAGACAGGCAGGCATTTCAGAATATTTCAGTAACCACATGCAAGTGAAAATCTCAAGTGCAGAATATATCCTGTATGGCAAGTAAGCACTCACAGATCAAAAACATGACAAATATATTGTATATAACATGTAAAGGGTTAAATTTGTATTGTGTTTATTCTGATAGGTGTACTGCCAAAATTTAAAATATTGTTGAGTTTACTTTAAAAATATTTAACTGACAAGATTTCATGTTTGACATCTAGTGCACAGAGTTCATATTTGCTGTAATGATATGACATTAACATAAAATTCAAACTTCCAGAGCTCGGCATGTCCACGTGGTCGTGGACTAGGAGGCAGTGGGAAGATGAACTACATGCTGCATAACATAGGAAGCGAGGAAGACTTTGTTCGTTGGGAGGGCAGTGGAGCCATTGGATGGGGGCTCAGACAGTTACAGCCCTATATATCAAAAATGTTAGGCACAGAGCATAAATGCATTAAACAGAAGCCATACTGCCTCAGAAGCTATCAGAACCTCCTCATGTCTGCAGCTGGCCTGTACACTACACACTCTGCTCATCTGAAGAGTCACAGGAGTTTTGTAAGAGTTAAGGTATTCTGTGGTAACTCTTAACATTCACTTAGCTGAATACTGAAGTTGGGTGGTTAGCTCTCCTGCTTCATATTCAGGAGGTTTGTGCTCAGATCTTATCTAGGAGACCAGACCAAGGGTTTTCATAGTTTTCCTCAGTCTCTTCAGGCAAATGCCAGAATAATTCATCAAGTTAGTCCAGCCTTTCCAAAAGTAAGAGCTATGGTTATGTAAAGGTCTTTGAAGCTTCTGAGTGAGATACATACGATGGGGTACCCAAAAGAAACCTAACTAATTTTTCTGTGGGCAGAGCTTTTGTAATACCGCGTTTTGCCGCTATGAGCACATAGAGCTAACATTCCTGAGTCGATAAGCTGACTGCCGTTGCTTCAGAAGGTAAGGACTAGTTTCGGCAGAGTTTATAATGACAACTGTTTTGTGTGATCATCGTTTTTGCAATGGCTGATTTTCGTGAACAGCATGTGGCGGTGAAATTCTGGTTTTTGCTTGGGAAAAGTGGAACAGAAACTCTTGAATGTTAAAAACGGCGTACAAGGACGATGCTATGGGGAAAACTCAAGTGTTTGAGTGGTTTTCCCATTTCAAAAATGGTGAAATGTCAATTGATGACAAACCTCGTTCTGGTCGTCCTTCCACGGCCCGAACACATGAAAATGTTGAAAAAATTCGTGAAATCATCAAGGAAGATCGACGATGGACCATTGAAGAAATTGTGGAGCTGTCGGGAGTGACTTGGAG